CACCTGCGGCGGGGACGGGGCTGACCTTGGCCGGGGCTGCTGCAGGAGGGAGATTTCGGAGCCCCAGCATGGCTGCTCCTCGGCACAGCACGTCCTGATGCACTGCTCCGAGCCGGCGCTGCGCATTCGCCGCCTCGCTCCGGGAGAGGAGGGGGCTGGAGCCGGGGCCGGGGGGGAAAGGTGCCCCCGGGGCTCCGGTGTCACCTGCGCTGTCCCCAGGGACCGCGGAGGAGGCCAGGGCTGTGATTGGCGCGGGTGGGCTCGGGGAGGAGGGGGTGCGGGGGCAGCTGGAGGGGCCTGGAGGGGGAAGCTGGAGCTGGGGGGTCTGTGGGGGAGTCCTGATGCTGAGTCGCCGCGACAGGCGGCGGTGGCGTCTCTGATGTCGCCTCGATGGCCGTCAGAGCCCGCTCTGGGTGGAGGGGCAGCAGAGCCCAGGGCTCTGCCTGAAAGAGGAGCAGCAGAAGCTCGTGGTGGGGCCTCCTGAGGAGCCCAGGTGTGACAGGGATGAGCCCCAGCCCTCCTGCATCCCTTCCTGTCCCCGCTGTCCCCCCGCGGTCACGTTTGAGAGGTGCCTGCAATAATTGTGGCACTTCAGGTGACAAAATCTGCAGCCCCCGCTCTGTCTGGTCACTGTTTGCATTCTTCTCCCTGTCTTGTCATGCTGCTATTTCCACTTTAATTCACTTTCGCTGGCGCTGAAAAGCATTTAAAAAAACCCAAAACCCAAACAAAACAACAACAAAAAAACCAACAACCAAAAAACTTTAATAAGCAGAAACAGATTAAATTCACTTGGCTGTTATTTTTCAAGGAGATTTTTGTTTGTCAAGACGCGGTGCCGGAGGGTGGGGGACTCGATCGGAAGCTGGAACTCCTGGAAATGAGTTAATTAAAAAGCCGATGAAGCTGCCTCTGTCCTCCCTGGGCGTGCAGCGTGCCGGGGCGGCGGCTGCCGCTGCTGCCCTTTCGAGAGGGACACGGCCGTGCCTCGTTAATCACCAACAGATTTGGGATTTAATTGCCATTCAGGGGAAGTCCCCCTCGGTCAAGGCGCTGACTCACTTGGATTTCATTTCATTTACCTCCCGTCTCCTCCTGGGACAACCACAACCATTTAATTTATTTTATTTTTTCAAAGTCCCAAAATATTCCCGATTACATCGCTCCAGCCCTGCTTTCCTGCCTCGTCTGTGTGTCCGTCCCTCCGAGGGCTCCCGGCAGCATCTCCGCCCTCCTCCCCGCGCTTTGGGGACCCTGAGCTCCTCGTTATTCCCTCGTTTGGCAGCACCGCGGACATGACTCTCATTGTAATTATAAATCACAGCCTCTGTAATTCCCCGCACCTTTTGCAGGGTTGCTGCTGCAAGGAGCCGCCTGCTTTATGGCTCGGAACGCGGCTGTCGCTTCCAATCCTCTCCCGGCCCATTATCTCCCTTTGATGCTTTTGAAGAGCCAGCGAAATGTTAATTCCAGCTCGGTCCTCTCCTCTCCCCCTCTCTCTGGGCAAATCCAGCCTGGAAGGGGCTGGCAGGTGATGCCTCAGGTTTAGGTTTTGTGTTTTTCGGGTTCTGTGCTGCTTTAGTGTGTGGGTCTGGGCTCCACATCAGGGGCTGCTGAGCTCTGTGCACAGAGCAGGGAGACAAAACAATTCCTGCTCCAGCTGGGACCAAGGACAAATGATCCAAATCTCAGCCCAGGAGCACAAACACCGCGGGCTGGAGAGAGAAAAACAAGGATGGGACTGCATGGGCTAAAGCTGGAATGGGACAATGAACTGCAAGATGCAAATGGAGCAGAACTTGTCAAAGTGAGAGACCCCGTGCCTGGTCGTGTATTTTGGGACCATGTTGGTTCATTTTGGGTTCATTTTGTGATCTTTTGGGTTCATTCTGTTTTCTTTTGGGTTCATTTTGGGTTCATTTTGGCTCATCTTGGGTGCAGCCCTGGCTGGGCTCTTGTGCTGCCCAGGGTGGATCCATTGAAGAGATCCTTTAAACAGATCCCTGCTTTATTCTGTAATTCTGGCCTCAGTTCCAGCTCAGCCCTCACAAGGCCTCAGCCCCAGCCCAAAGTTCACAAGTTCACAAGTGCCCAGCCAGGGCTGCACCCAAGATGACCCCAAATGGTCACAATACGAACCCAAATGGTCACAGGGTCTCTCACCTTTTTAAGTTCTGCTCCATTTGCATCTTGGAGTTTATTGTCAGTTCCAGCTTTAGCCCATGCAGTCCCATCCTTGTTTTTCTCTCTCCAGCCCACGGTGTTTGTGCTCCTGGGCTGAGATTTGGATCATTTGTCCTTGGTCCCCAGCTGGAGCAGGAATTGTTTTGTCTCCCTGCTCTGTGCAGAGCTCACCATCCCATAATAGGAAGCTCAGAACTCCACACCGAAGCAGCGCAAAATCTAAAAAATATAAAAACTAAAACCCGAGGGCCGTGGCTGTGCCTGACCCCCCCGCCAGGGCTGCACCCTCTGTGGTTTTGGGGCATTTGGGGTGGGCAGGGCGGGCGCTGGGGTGGCAGCAGCGCCAGCAGGGACAGATGGAGCCACCAAGTGCCACCACGTGGTGCTGGCCACGGCCCGCCTGGCGCTGCCACCCGCGCCAGATTGTCAGCCCTGGATGGTCCCGGAGCCCTGCAGGGACGGGCAGCGTGTCCCTGTCCCCACGGGCGGTGCCACATCCCCGGGGCTGCCAGGGAAAGGTAGAGACACATATTATAATATTATACATATTGTGTTATAATACATGTTATTATATTGGCTTTTGGGAAATACTAAAATATTTTAAAATATTAAGCATTTTAAAAATATTTAAAATAATTTTAAAATATAAAATACTATAAATAAATATATATATTTCATAAATGTATATTTTTTATAAAATGATATTTTATAAATAAAATATATATTATAAATATTTAGTATAATAAATATGCAACAAGCTAATACAATAGAAATAAATATATAAAAAGTGATTTTTTCAAAAAATATAAACATATTAAAAGTGTTTCCAAAATAGCAAATGTGCTCTTGGCTGAACGCCACCAGCCTTTGCTTTATTGTCTTTATCTCCTATTGCCCCTTGTTAAACTTTTAAATTGTTACAATAGGGTTAAAAAATGGGGTTAAAACCTTGTTTTTCCTAGTTGGATCTGCTGAGCTGGGGTAGGGATGGCTGCTGTGCCATCCTGTGCCCACAGGTCACAGTGCCCACCACAAATGGTGCCAGAACATTCTGGATTTGGCTGTGATTTATGGGCTCGGCGAGGAGCTTGTCCAGTCATCCCGAAATAATAAATAAAATCCACACTGTCATCCCAAAATAATAAATAAAACTCACAGCCGGCGCTGGCAGCAGATAGGATCAGCAATATCAGGGGAGGGAAAATTACTGAGGGTCCGAGAGAGAGAAATGAGGAGAGAGAGGGAGGGAAAAGTTGGGGAGGGAAAAACTGGGGAAGGGAAAAGTCAGGATACACATCATTATCCTGGTGGATTATCCTTCCAGCCAGGTGGATCTCACTCCCTGTCCCTGGATCCCACTCCTTGTCCCTGGATCCCTCTCCTTGTCCCTAAATCCTTCTCCTTGTCATTGGATCCCTCTCCTTATCCCTGGATTCCATTCCTTGTCCCTGGATCCCATTCCTTGTCCCTGGATCCCTCTCCTTGTCCCTGGATCCCTCTCCTTGTCATTGGATCCCACTCCTTGTTCCTAAATCCCACCCCTTGTCCCTAAATCCCACTCCTTGTCCCTGGATCCCATTTCTTGTCCCTGGATCCCATTCCTTGTCCCTCAATCCCACTCCTCACCCCTGGACCCACCTTCCCTCCTGCAGGGGGTCGGATGGGGCTGGGAACAGCCTGGAATATCGTGATCCCCCTGGAATAAAAACGCCTTTCAATCCCTTCCCACCTGAACTCTTCCAGAACTCTGCAAGGCCCCAAGGCCCCCTCTGAGACCCCAGCCTCCCATCCCATCCCATCCCATCCCATCCCCTCCCATCCCATCCCATCCCATCCCATCCCATCCCATCCCATCCCCTCCCATCCCATCCCATCCCATCCCATCCCATCCCATCCCATCCCATCCCATCCCCTCCCCTCCCCTCCCATCCCATCCCATCCCATCCCATCCCCATCCCCATCCCATCCCATCCCATCCCATCCCCTCCCATCCCATCCCATCCCATCCCATCCCATCCCATCCCCATCCCATCCCATCCCATCCCATCCCATCCCATCCCATCCCATCCCCATCCCATCCCATCCCATCCCCTCCCATCCCCTCCCATCCCATCCCATCCCATCCCATCCCATCCCCTCCCATCCCAGCCCAGCCCAGCCCAGCCCATCCCCTCCCCTCCCATCCCATCCCATCCCATCCCCTCCCATCCCATCCCATCCCATCCCATCCCATCCCCATCCCATCCCATCCCATCCCATCCCATCCCATCCCATCCCATCCCATCCCATCCCATCCCATCCCATCCCATCCCCTCCCAGCCCATCCCATCCCATCCCAGCCCATCCCAGCCCAGCCCAGCCCGGGAAGGGCAGCTCGGGAGCGGTGCCAGCTCCTGTCACCGGCGGTGCCACATCGCGGTGACAGCGGCGACACCAGCGCGCGGGGAGGGGGCGGGCACAGCCGGGCAGGGCTGGAAAATCCCGTGGAAAATGAACATTGCTGTGACTTGCAGCGCCGCGGCAGTGCCAGGAGGGGCTGGGCGCGCCAGTGGCTCCAGTAGCCATGCCGGGCTGCTGTGCCAACCCCTCTTCCCTCCTTTTTCACCCCGATTTGCTTCAATCCTCACCCCTTGCTCGCTCCCCGAAACCCCAGCGACCCTTTGGGAGGGGCAGGAACCAGAGCAGGTTTGAATCCGAGCTCAGAGATTCTCAAAGGGAAAAAACCAAAAGTCAAACCAAGAATCTTAATGGTATTTTTTTGTTTGTGTGTGTGTGTGTGTGTGTTCTCTTCTGTTTTATCTTTTCTTTGTTGTTAGCAACCCAACTACTGGAGCTTTAAGGTCAGTATTTTGGATTTTTCCTGCTTTCTCTCTGAAATGCATGTGCTTGGCTGTGGCTCTCGAGGGGGGTGGGAGCCCAGGGTGGGATTTTTGGGATTTTTTTGGATGAGGATTCCTGAGCTGAAGTCGAAGGTGGTGAGAGGGAATTTTGGGGTTTGGGGTGAGCCGTGAGTGGTTCTGTGAGGCCTCGTTCTGAGCACCCACCCCACGGCCAAATCCTGCTGCTCTGGGGTTAATTCTGAGACTGAATTCTGGGAAAAGGATGGGAAGAGGTTGGTTCAGGATGGGGTTGGAAGCTCGGAGTGGCCGCTCAAGCAGGGGGACTCTGCTTTCCAGCCTCCTCCTCCTCCTCCTCCTCCTTGCCCGGTGACTCCCTGGCTGCCCTTCAAGGTCGCCCCCTTGCCGGGTGACCTTGGCACCTTGTCCCGGGTGGATTCGCTCTTCCCGTGGAAAAAAATAAACCCAAAGAACCCAGGGAATGTGGGGCCGGGAAATGCGGGATACGAAAATTTGTTCCCGAGTTTTCATTCCCGGAGTGGAACGGGGGTGGAGCCGCGGCTCCGGGAGGTTCAGCTGGCCCCGGCTCCCACAGGGCATTCCCGGCGCTGCCAGGGGAGGGAAGGCGCGAAATCCTCACTTTTTTTAATCTTTTTCTCGGATTTTTCGTCTTTTCTTCCGATTTTTTTTGCGACTAAGAAATAAAACAGGGCTGAACTTTAGGACCTTCCTGGCGCTTTGAGGGGAGGGAAGGCAAAAAATCCTCAGCTTTAAAATATTTTCCTGATTTTTTGCGCCCTTCCCCCGGGGCATGGCATCGATCTGCCACCCCCGTGCCACTGTCACCTCTGTTCCACCGTCACGCTGCTGCCAGCCCAGGCTCCAGGCAGATTCCCGATCCCCCAGGACACCCCGGGCTGTCTCCAATACATCCCAATCCTCCCCGCACTTTTCCCTCCCCTCATTCTTGCCCTCCCTGCCCGAAAATCGCGCCCGAGGCCATCCCAAAGGCTCGCGGTGTTTTTGGGACATCCAGGGTCACATCCAAGGGGTGAAAATCCCGCGGGGAAGTTCAGTGGAGAGGGCCGGGGGCTCCCGCCGCGCTGATGCGAGGGGTGGGGTGGAATTTGGATTCCCGGAGGAACGAGGAGATCCAAGGGCTCGGCAGAGCTCCTTTGGAGCCGGGACTTTGAAGGAACATCAAAGGCAGCCGAGTAAAAGATCCAGAAGGGCAAAACCGGCGGGGGACACACAAAGGACGCGCTTGTCTTAAAAACGAGCGTCAGGAGCGGCTTCATCCGCACCGCGCTCCCGCTCCGGCCTCGGGCCCGCGGCTGCCCGGAGCCCCGCGTCTCCTCGCGGGAAGCCATTTCCCCCTCGGCGGCGCTCGGCCAGCCGCAGTGAGAGCAGGAGATGAGAATTTACTCGCAGGAGATGAGCAAATAGGAGGCGGCGAGCCCTGGGCTGCTGTAATCCCGCTGCTCCCGCTGCCGCCTCCCGCCGGCCCCGCCGAGGGCCGCGCTCCCGAGGGCCGCGGGGGCGTTGATCCCGGGCGTTGATCCCGGGGGTTGATCCCGGGGGTTGATCCCGGTGGGAAGGGGGGTTTAGGGTGGGTAAACAGTGGCGAGAGGCTGCTCCAACCGCCTCGCTGTGGTTTTTGGGGTCCTCGCTGGTTTTGCGGCATGGCCGGGAGATGATGCTCGTTGTTGTCCATCGATCGCCGGGCTGTCGATATTTATGGATGGGTTATGTGGGAAAAGCGATTAAAGGTCTCCTGGTCCCACCCCCCTGCCCCTGGCGGGGATGGCGCCCACCCCATCCGGGTGCTGGGAATGGAAGCGGCATCCTCAGCGCAGGAACGGGGAAACTGAGGCACGGCGGGAATGGACGGGGTTGGGGAAGGTGTGGGGCGAGCAGCAGCGTCAATATTCATGAGGCTGCAGAGGATCCAGGCTTTTAAATATTCATCAGCACGCGGAGCTTCTGCTGCCAGCAGGAAAATCGGGGAGAGGGGATGAGAAAGTCCCCCTTTTTCCTTCCTTTCCCCTTTCCCCTTTTCCCTTCTCCCTTTTCCCTTTTCCCCTTTCCCTTCTCCCTTTTCCCTTTTCCCCTTTCCCTTCTCCCTTTTCCTTTTCCCCTTTCCCCTTTTCCCCTTTCCCTTCTCCCTTTTCCCTTTTCCCTTTTCCCTTTTCCCTTTTCCCTTTCCCCATTTCCCCTTTCCCTTCTCCCTTTTCCTTTTTCCCTTTCCCCTTTCCCCTTTCCCCTTTCCCCTTTCCCCTTTCCCCTTTCCTCTTTCCCCTTTCCCCTTTCCTTTTTTCCCTCTCCGTCTCCAGGGACAGAGAGGTGCCTTTACCTCAGGGACATCCAGGTGCTGTCACCTGCAGAGTGTCGGGAGTTTCTGGGATCGGGATCAGGGGTTGGGAATGGCCCATCCCGGAGCCCATCCCAAGGCGGGGAGTCCCGCTCTCTCCGGAGGGGGCGGCCCCATCCTTCAGTCAAGGGGTCCGGTTTAAAAACCCTAATCCGATTTGAACGCTAATCCTGTTAACATTGAGATCGGGATTAATTCTGCCTTAATCGGGATAATCCTGACAAAATGTTCAGCATTAGACGTGGGATGAGTTATTGCTGCCGGCAGCGGCAACGATTTTAATTTGGGGGCGGGGGGAGAGGGGAGAGGGCCGGGAGGGCGGCGTTGGAAAGGCCACAACCCCTTCGATGGGGGAGACTCCTGGAAAAACCCTTTGGGTGCCTCTCAGACCACCCCGGGCCTCTCATTTCCTCCACTTTTGCCCCAGATTCCCTCCAGTTTTCCCCGTTTTTCTTCCCAGATGGGCATCCCCCGGCTCCTCGCCTCCAGCGGCAGGAGCTGGGACGTTGGAATTCCTTCCCGAGCGGAATCCATCGCTCCTGGCTGGTGCAGCTGAGGGAAAGGGCGGAGCAGAGGGGTTGGGTTTCAGCGGCCGGGATCAGGTGTCCGAGCGGGGCGGCACCAGAGCCGGGCCCTGGGGCAGAGCAGCCAGGCTCGGGATGCTGAATTCCCCTTGGGAATGCTGGGTTCTGCTGGGTTCTGCTCAGGGATGGTGTATTCGAATTGGGAATTATAGTTTCTCATCAGGGATGCTGGTTTCTGGTCAGGGATGTTCTATTCCAGCTGGGAATGCTGGTTTCTGTTCAGGGATGCCAGTGTCTGTTTGAGGACACTGCAGCCCAGTTGGGAAAGCTGGGTTCTGGTCAGGAATGTCCTATTCCAGTTGGGAATTCTTGTCAGGCGTTCTGGGTCAGCAATGTTGGGAATGCTGGGTTCTGGTCAGGAATGCTCTATTTGAATTGGGAATTATGGTTTCTCATCAGGGACTCTGGTTTCTGCTCAGGGATGTTCTATTCCAATTGGGAATGCCCACCCCGTGGACCCCACCCCATGGACCCCATCCCACCCCACGGATCCTTCCCAGGGCTCAGCACCAGATGGGGCTGGGCGGGACCCCGGGATTAAGCGATGAGAGGGGGATCAGCAGGGATTAATCCCGATCCGTGTCCAGCCCGGGGCCGGAGCCTCGGTAAATAACCGTGCCCGGGGCGGTGCCAGCCGTGCCAGCTGTTTTCCAGGGATTTCAGGGCCCCCTCGCCTTTATCCCCATCCTGCGGAGGAGCTGCAGACGGGCAGCGGAGGGCAAGGAGCTGCCAGGACCTGCCAGGACCCTCCAGAACCTGCCAGGACCCGCCAGGCCCCGCCAGGGCCATGCCCGGCCGCGCTCCGGAGCACCCTCGGGGCCCATGGGGCGCGATTCTGGGGGCTCTGGGGGCTCCTGGAGGGCGCGGCCCCCGGCCCGGAGCTGCCCAGCCCAGCCCGGGAGGCTCCTCCCGGTGGCGGGAGGGGAGGGGAGGCTGAGCTCGGGGCCAGGCGCCGCCGGTGGCACTGGCACAGCGAGGGTTTGTCCATCCCAGGTCTGTTTTGGGGCTGGTCTCGGGGCTTTTGGGGCTGGTCTCGGCGGTTTTGGGGCTGGTCTCGGGCTGGTCTCAGCGGTTTTGGGGTGCGAGGGGGTGCGGAGCTCGGGGTGCGGCTGGGAATTGGAGCTCTGAGTGTCCCGGGGCGTCAGAGGGGGACGGAGCCGCTTCTCCTCCTGCTGTTCCTGTCACCTGCCGTGGCCTGGACGCCCCTCAGGTGTGGAATGGACGGGGGGCTCGGGCAGGACCCGTTTTTCGCTCGGGAGGGCTCGGGCAGGGCCCTGGGAGCCTGTGGGGCTGGGACAGACCCCGCGTCCCCTCCGAGGCCCCTGGCGGGGCCGCAGGGTGGAAATCTGCAGCTGTGGGGTGGCTCCGGGTGCTGTTGGGAGCAGCTGCTCCATCCCAGGGCAGGATTCCTTCCCCACGCATTCTTCCCTTGTTTTTTTTCCCTCCTGTCTGCTTTGAAGTGACCTGTGGGAGGTCCAGGGCTGCTCCTGTCACCTCTGTCCCTCTCCTGACCCCTCTGCCCCTCTCCATCCAAGCGGCTCCACCGCCTTTCCCCATCCAGAGGGGTGACCCCGCTCCTTTCACGGATTCCCAAAAATCCGCCCCGTCCTTTGATCCTTCCCTGCTCCTCGCCGAGCATTCCGCCCTCCCAGCTGGGCCGGGGAATGTGCGAGAGGGGTGTGCGAGGAGGATGAGGATGAGGATGAGGATGAGGCAGGAATGAGGAGCATCCTTATCTCCAGGCAGAGATAATGGAGCTGCTTCCGCAGGGATGGTCGGGGCTTTTTAGGAGCTCAAAGAATCCCTTAATTGTGGCTTTTTTTAGCTCTGGGGAGACAAAAGGAAAAAATAAATTCGACATTAAAAAAACTCCCTCCATTCCCCATCCCACCGTTTTTATATAAAACTCCCGGGGACGGGGGAGGGCATGGGGACGTTCCTGGCCCTGCTGGAATTGGGGATTTTTCCCAATTCCTCCTCCGGAGGCTCTGGGGGTGCTCCTGGCCCTGCTGGAATTGGGGATTTTTCCCAGTTTCTCCTCCAGAGGCTCTGGGGGTGCTCCTGGCCCTGCTGGAATTGGGGATTTTTCCCAATTCCTCCTCCAGAGGCTCTGGGGGTGCTCCTGGCCCTGCTGGAATTGGGGATTTTTCCCAATTCCTCCTCCAGAGGCTCTGGGGGTGCTCCTGGCCCCGCTGGAATTGGGGATTTTTCCCAATTCCTCCTCCAGAGGCTCTGGGGGTGCTCCTGGCCCTGCTGGAATTGGGGATTTTTGGGGTCGGGTTTTCCCCAGGACCCTCACCACGGGGGCACTGCCAGGGTTCCAAGCTTTGCTCCAGCGGGATTCCCTCGGCTCAGGAGGCGCCCAGGGGGCTTCATCCGAGCAGGTTTAATCGCGGGGGGACGCTGTGGGCATCCCGAGCTCGATGCCCTTTGCCCAGCCCCCTCTGCCTCGCAATTCCAGATTTTTCCCGGCGCGGCCTCCCCGTGGCCTTGAGCGGTTTTTGTTGTGGCTGCTCTCCCTCGCTCCCGTCCCGAGCGTTCCCCGCTGGAATCCCCACGGGGACCAGCCGGGAATTCCAGGGTCCAGCTCCGGGATTGCCGCTCTGGGGCTGGCTCGGCGGGAAATGGGTCATTTCCCAGCTGGGGACAGGCGCAGGGCGGCCATGTCCCCTCCCTCCCTTCCCTGCCACCACCTCGGGTCCCGCAGGGAATTTTCTCGGTGCCCACGGGGAATGTGGGGCTGCAGAAGCCCCCGGAGAGGGGTCTGGGTGTGGATGAAAGGGTCACCTGGGGGGCAGGACGGAAAAATGAGGGGGCACGAGGTTTTTATGGCCACGCTGGGGATTTTTAGGATGGGGTTTGGGTTTATCCTGAGCCTTTCCCAGCTGGGAGATGGCCCCTGCATGCCCTGGTGGGGCAGGGGTGGCAGGGGTGGCAGGGGACATCCAAACTGGCACACCTGGCACCCCGAGGGCAGGGTCAGGAGCGCTCAAAACACCTGCAGTTCCAGAGGGATGGGCAAAGCTGCCCCGAGGTGCCACCCTTGGGGTCACCATGGCCAGGGGGGCCCTGTGCTCATCTGGGGGGGTTTTTGCCCATCTGGGAGGATCCCGAGCCCCAAGGGCTGCCCTGAGTTTAGGGAAGGGAGGCTGGGGTGGCTCTGCCCCGGTGCCGGTGACAGTTTTGGGGGCTGGGGACAGCACAATGCGCAGAGCATCAGGGCAGAACGGTCCCTTCCGGGCTGAAAACCCATTAACGCTCATCTCGCCTGGCTTGGTCGGGGTTTTTTTTGTGGTTTGACTGATTCCATAAATTATCCACAGCGGGAGCTTCGGGGCCCGAGGGCGGCTGCAGGGCCAGGAGGGGGCTGGGATCACCTGGGGCAGGGAAGGTGCCCCTGTCACCCCCGGGGGGTGGAAATGGGGGGATTTGGGGTGGGGAGTAAAAGGGATTCAGAGATGGATGCAGGCACGGATTTGGGGCAGGGCGAGATCCCAGAGAACGGGAACAAGGCAGGGGAAGGATCCAGGAAGGCAGAGCCAGGCAGAGCTGCAGCCCTGGCTCACATCCCCACCAGGAGCTGCCGGCCCCGTCCCTGTGCTTCCCTAAGGATCCATCCCGGGCTGGGATCTGGGTGAGCATCACCCCAAACCCAGAGCAGGGTACCCAAAACCCACAGCCTTGAGGGCGGGGAGCACCAAAATTCACCTTTTCCACCCCAAAACCACCCCCACGAGGGGTCAGAGCTGCGTCCCACGGCCCCAGGGATGGGAGCAAGGAATGTTTCCCTCCATCCCTGCATCCCTTCCTGATGTGAGGCTCTGCCAGGGCTCTTTGTGCTCCAACAGCAACAACCCAGCCCAGCAGTCAATTTTCCAGCAATTAACTACAGCGAGAACATTTCAAGTCCTCTCAAACCCCGCCTCACAGGATTAATTAAATCTTCCAATTAATGTCTCATTTAAATGGCGATGATGGCTGTTATCATTTCATATTGATTTCTTTTTTTTCCTTTTTTTCCCCCATCTTAAAATAGAGCTGTTGTCCCTTTCCACAGCGCCGCCTTTTCCACACCCTGGGAGCTGTTTGTTCCCTCTGTTGGGTTTGCCAACCTTCAACAAGTGCCTGGAAAATCCAGGCCTGGGTTTTTGGGGTTATTAACAGGCAGCAGTTATGGGAATGGCCACAAATTTGGGGATATTTGGGGATATTTGTGGATATTGTGGATATTTGTGGATATTTGGAGATATTGGGGATATTTGGGATATTGGAAAATCCACATTTTCCATGTCTGTGGTGCAAACTTTCTGGCAGCAGGCTCCTGTGAAATGGGGATCCTGGAAAATGAAATCCTCCCGGCTCCCAGAGCCATAAACCTTCCCAGTGCTTTGCTTCCAGAAGGATCCGGGCATTTAGGATTCCCGGGAGTGGAGTAATGGATGTGTAACCTCCGGGAGCAGCCAAGGTCATTCCAGTGCTCGGCTCTGGCAGCCTTGGCTCCTTCCTGCAGGGTTAAATTCCAGGGGTTTGCCGGTGTGGGAGCCCAGAGGCACCGGGATGGAGCTGGGAAGGTTTATCCTGGAGCGGGGTGGGATTGGGAATGGGAATGGGGTGGGATTTGGAATGGGAATGGGGTCTGTGCTGGGAGCAGGAGGCGGAGCAGGCATGGAGTGGGGGGTGAAGCACGTCAGAGCCTGAGCTGGGGTGGGAATGTAGCGTGGAACATCCCTGGATGAGGATGGAGTTACCTTGGATGTGGGATGGGAGATCCCTGGATATGGGATGGAGCATCCCCGGATGAGGATGGAGCATCCCTGGATGAAGGATGGGGGATCCTTAGATGTGGGATGAAGCCCCCTGGATTTGGGATGGAGCCCCCTGGATTTGGGATGGAGCCCCCTGGGTTTGGGATGGAGCCCCCTGGATTTGGGATGGAGCCCCCTGGATTTGGGATGGAGCTTCTGGGTTTGGGATGGAGCCCCTGGGTTTGGGATAGAGCCCCCTGGATTTGGGATGGAGCCCCTGGATTTGGGATGGAGCCCCCTGGATTTGGGATGGAGTCCCCTGGATTTGGGATGGAGCCCCCTGGATTTGGGATGGAGTCCCCTGGATTTGGGATGGAGACCCGTGGATTTGGGATGGAGCCCTCTGGATTTGGGATGGAGCCCCCTGGGTTTGGGATGGAGCCCCCTGGGTTTGGGATGGAGTCCCCTGGATTTGGGATGGAGACCCGTGGATTTGGGATGGAGCCCCCTCAATTTGGGATGGAGCCCCTGGGTTTGGGATGGAGCCCCCTGGATGTGGCCCAGCCCCACCCTCAGGCACAGGGAGGGATTTTTGGGGGTGTCCTTTGTGTCTCCCTCCCATCCCAGGCCATTCCACGCTCCCACCACCCTCACCAGCCTCTCCATCCCAGTGCCACATTCCTGAGGAAAGCGGGACCAGCCTCACCCAGGTCGCCCATCCCTGCACCCCCTGACCCGTCCCTGTCCCTGTCCCATTGCAGACCAGGAGCTCCCGGCACTCCCAGGGCTCCCAGCCTGGCCTGGCCGACCAAGCCAAGCTCTCCTTCGCCTCGGCCGAGTCCCTGGAGACCATGTCGGAGGCGGAGCTGCCGCTGGCCTTCAACAGGATGAACCGGTTCCGGCAGAGCCTGCCCCTGTCCCGCTCGGCCAGCCAGACCAAGCTGCGCTCCCCAGGTACCCCTGGAGGCCCCAAAACCTCCCTGGTGCAAGGTGGGGTTGGTCTCCACCTGCCCAAAATTCCAGACCAAGCTGCGCTTGGCCGGAAGTTCCTCATCCCATTTTTTTGGGTGCCCCAGAGCCCTCAGGGAACACATCCCCTCACCAGGGCCAGGCTGGGTGGCCAAACATTCCCCAAACCCTTTTTTTGGTTGCCCTGGACACTTCCACCTTCACCAGGGCACTGTTGGGTGTCCAACTCCTTTTTGTGGATGCTCCCAAGCCTTGCACCTTCAGCAGGGTGAGATTGGGTGGCCAGAAGTTCCCCAACCCCTTTTTTTGGTTGCCCCAGAGCCTCCCACCTTCACCAGGGCGCTGTGGGGTGGCCAGAGCTCCCCGACCCCTTCCTTTGGCTGGGCAGACCCTGTCAGCCCCATGGAGAAGGGGCAGGGTCAGAGCTGACTCCGGCGCGCCTCCTGTGCTCCCAGGGGTGCTGTTCCTGCAGTTTGGGGACGAGACCAGGCGGGTGCACATCACGCACGAGATCAGCAGCATGGACACCCTGCACGCCCTCATCGTGCACATGTTCCCCCAGAAGCTCACCATGGGCATGCTCAAGTCCCCCAACACTGCCATCCTCATCAAGGACGAGTCCCGGAACGTCTTCTACGAGCTGGAGGATGTCCGGTGAGCAGGGAGGGATCAATTCCCACCCGAGACTGGTTTCCAGTCCTTCAAATCCGTCACAAGATGGGAAATCTGCGGGACTGTCCTGGTTTGAAAAGTCAGGTGTCCGCTAAGGAAGGCAGGAGTTTCCCTTAAAATGGAAAATGTAAACCCCCTCTCTCCAGGTTGTTATAATTTTAAAATTAAAATGTTCTCAGGCAAGCTGCCCCACCTCTAACAGATAATAGAACACACTCATATCCTACAACCCAGGACAGGGATGAAGGAAAAAAGGAGGTGGTGGGTGCAGTGCTGGTGTTTTGTGGGGTCTGTCCCGGGTGTTCAGGCTCTGCCTCTGCTTCCAGAGATATCCAGGACCGAAGCATCATTAAAATCTACCGGAAAGAGCCGCTCTACGCCTCGTTCCCAGCCTCACACATCACCAACGGCGACCTGAGGGTGAGAGGGGACACGGGCACAGCCCAGGGGGGTGGCGGGGCCTGGTGGAGTGGGAGCAGTAGGAAGGGAAAGTGGCAGAGATTGGGAATTGGGAGCTGTGTGTGGCTGGGATCCATCCTGCCTGCTGCCAGCGCTGGGTGGGAGCTGACAGCGGGGTCGTAAATATGGTTTGTAGGGAATTAAATCGTGGGGATAATTCATTAGGATAAATCATCAGGATAAATCATCAGGATAAATCAGCCTGCTGCTGGCTGGGAATCACAGAATCACAGAATTAGAGAATTAGAGAATCACAGAATCACAGAATCACAGAATTACAGAATTAGAGAATCACAGAATTACAGAATCACAGAATCACAGAATCACAGAATCATAGAATCACGGAATCACAGAATCATAGAATCACGGAATCACAGAATCACAGAATCACAGAATCATATAATCACAGAATCACAGAATCCTATAATCACAGAATCCTATAATCACAGAATCACAGAATCACGGAATCACAGAATCACAGAATCATAGAATCACAGAATCACAGAATCACAGAATCACAGAATCACAGAATCACAGAATCACAGAATTACAGAATCCTATAATCACAGAATCACAGAATCACAGAATCACAGAATCACAGAATCACAGGATCATAGAATCGCCAGTCCTTGGTGGGGCAGAGGGCCCAGCAGCGTGGGGCTCACTCAGTGCTGATCCCCCCGCCCCATTCCCACAGCGGGACATGGTCTACACCTCCCGGGAATCCTCTCCCACGCGCCGGCTCAACAACATCTCCCCAGCCTCGCACCTGGCCTCGGGCTCCCCGCCGCCCGTGCTGCAGTCCTCATCGCCCTCGCGCTCCCGCATGTCCTACAGCGGCGGCCGCCCGCCCTCCTACGCGGGCAGCCCCGTGCACCACGGCGAGCGCCTGTCCAGCCTGCCCCCGGCGCAGGGCGTGTCCCCCAGCCCCAGCGCCATCCTGGAGCGCCGCGACGTCAAACCCGACGAGGACCTGGCGGGCAAGAACGTGGTGCTGGTGAAGAACGAGGGGCTCTACGCGGATCCCTACGGGATGGTGCACGAGGGCCGGCTCAGCATCACCTCCACGCAGTCGCTGGCGGGCATGGGGGACCCCTTTGGCTACTCAGGGGGGCTCTACAAGCGGGGCTCGGTGAGGTCACTCAGCACCTACTCGGCGGCCGCGCTGCAGACGGAGCTGGAGGACAGTTTGTACAAGCCCAACGCGCCCATCTACAGCGACACGTACGGCCCCGGGCTGGGCTTCCGCATGCCGCCCTCGTCCCCGCAGAAGATGGTGGAGCCCGGGCAGAGCCCGCACAGCCCCTACTCGGGCCCGCCCAGCCGCTCCTCGCCCGTCCGTCAGTCCTTCCGCAAGGATTCCTGCTCCTCTGTCTTCATGGACGGCCCCGCGGGCAAAACGCGCAACCCCAGCTCGTCCGGGCCCCCCGAGCTGTTCCCCGGGCCCGCAGAGCGGCCGCTCTCGGGCTTCGGATCGCCCGGACCGGCCAAGGACACGGAGACCAGGTGAGAGGAGGCGCGGTGTGCTTGCACCAGGGGTGCTCCGGGTTGTGCTTGCACCAGGGGTGCTCCGGGTTGTGTTTGTACCTGGGGTGCTCCGGGTTGTGTTTGTACCTGGGGTGCTCCGGGTTGTCCTGGATTTGTGTTTGTTCCTGGGGTGCTCCGGGTTGTGTTTGTACCTGGGGTGCTCCAGGTTGTCCTGGATTTGTGTTTGTTCCTGGGGTGCTCCGGGTTGTGTTTGTACCTGGGGTGCTCCGGGTTGTCCTGGATTTGTGTTTGTTCCTGGGATGTTCCAGGTTGTCCTGGATTTGTGTTTGTACCTGGGGTGCTCCAGGTTTTCTGTTGCCTTTGGATTTGGGATCCCCGGTGGGTTTGAGCTTTGCTACAGGGGGATTTTGTATGGACCGGAGGGGGAGGAGGAGTGGATTGGGAGGAGGAGGAGGAGCAGAGGAAGGCGCTGCCCCGTCGCCACTGCAGTGCTGTGGTGGGAATTGGGCGCCGGGTGAGGGCTAGGTGCGAGCACAGACAGGGACTGAGGAGCTGCAGCTGGTGACAGCCGTGTCCCCAGTGTCCCCAGCTCCCGGGCTGGCAGGGCTGGGCTGTGAGCGGGGCCGGGAGCGGCCGGGGGTGGCCGTGGCGGCAGACGCAGCCCGTGACCCGTCCCTGTCCCTCTGCCGGCGCAGGGAGCGGATGGAGGCCATGGAGAAGCAGATCGCCAGCCTGACGGGGCTGGTGCAGAGCGCGCTGCTCCGCGGCTCCGAGGCTGAGACCCCCAGGTGAGGGCAGCTGCAGGACCCCGGGGGCTCTGTCCCTGTCCCTCCTGGGGGTTTGTCCCCCTCCCAGGGGGCACCAACCCCGCCCACACTCAGCGCCCTCCTCTCTTTGGTTTCAGTGAGAAGACAGAGGCCACCAACGGCGGGACCCCCCCATCAGCGTGTGAGTGACCCCGGCCCTGCAGGACCCCCGTGGGTGTCCCAGGGTGGGCTCCGCAGCCCCCCTCAGGTGCTGGTGATGCCTTTCTCAGGCTGACCTAAAACCAGAATTAAGAGAATACGGGTGGATCTATTTAATGAGGGGCCTCCAGGTACGTTAAGGTCAGATGAAGCCTCCCTAAGGGGCTGCACCCAAAATGGATGATGGTCATGAGTTTTTCAGACAATTATATGTTTGCTCCACTTATGTATCAATTAATTGATATTAATTGATGTAATTTGGGTTAATCCTCCAATTACAGATTCAGGTAATGAAGACATTTACTCACAGTTTGTTTCCCCCCCCAATTCACTTTTTTTAATATTTTTTTGGGCCTGAGGTAGTGAGGTGTCCTTGAGTTACAGGCCTGGAGAGGAATTGTTTTGTCTGAATAAAACAAGAGAGCAGCAGCTGACAGGCCATGGACTTTCAGAATTATTCCCTAAAGCAGTACAGGATTTGAAAAATATAAAAGCTGAAGTCCTGAGGCATCACTGGCAAGCAGTGGGATCCCCCCATGCTGCTCTGGGGTGGCCTCAGAGGAGGCAGGGAGGACTCAGCGTGGATGGGGGACTTTGGAGACCCCCAGAGCTGTAGGATCGGGTGGGGGAAGAAAAGAAACAGGCACCGAAACCCCTCAGCAGCCTCCGCTTTCCCCCCCAGCCACCAGCCGCAGCGGCATGGGCACCCCAGTGCCCGCGCCGCCGCCGCCCTCGGCCACCAGCACCCCGGCGGGGCAGCCCACGGCCATCACCCGCCTGCACATGCAGCTGCACCTGCACGACCTGCAGCAGAACGCCAGCGACCTCCGCAACCAGCTGCAGCAGCTCAAGAAGCTGCAGGTGGGCACCCGGGCAGAGGGGACCCCGAATCTGAGCCAGCTCTCACTGGGTTGGGATGGGGAAATGCCCTTTGTGCACTGGGGTTGGTGTGGGGGGGCTCAGGGATCTGTCCTGGAGCTGAGCTTGGGGATCCTCTCCAAATCCAAACTCGGGGATCCTGCCCGAATCCAAACTCGGGGATCCTCTCCGAATCCAAACTCGGGCATCCTGCCTGAATCCAAGCTTAGGGATCCTGCATGAATCCAACCCCAGGGATCCCTCCCCATGCCCAGCCCAGGGATCTTTCCCAAATTCAGGCTCAGGGATCCCTCCCCTCGCCCATCTCAGGGCTGCTCCCTCACCAGGACCCGTTTCCCATCTTGAGGGGTCTCTCCCAGCCTGACCCCTCCTCCTCCTCCTCCTCCTCCTCCCCACAGCTGCAGAACCAGGAGACGGTGAAGTCGCTGCTGCGGCGGACGGAGACGGAGCTGAGCGTGAGGGTGACGGACACGATGCGCAAGCACGAGGACCCTCTGCAGCGCCAGCGCAGCTTGGTGGAGGAGGAGCGGCTGCGCTACCTCAACGAGGAGGAGCTCATCACCCAGCAGCTCAAGTGAGCCTGGCCAGGGGGCCCGGGAGAGAGAGGGGGCACGGAGCAGCTCTGCACTGCCCGGGGCACGGCACCAAATCGGGGGGTCCCCATGCAGTGACCATGTCCCCAAATCGGGGGGTCCCTATGCAGTGACCATGTCCCCAGATCACGGGGTCCCCACGCAGTGACCATGTCCCTTCATGAGGAGGGGTCCCTATCCAGTGACCACATCCCCAGATCAGGGGGTCCCCATGCAGTGACCATGTCCCCAAATCAGGGGGTCCCCAGGCAGTGACCACATCCCTACATGAGGAGGGGTCCCCATGCAGTGACCACATCCCCAGATGAGGGGGTCCCTATGCAGTGACCATGTCCCCAAATCAGGGGGTCCCTATGCAGTGACCACACCCCTACATGAGGAGGGGTCCCCAGCCCAGCCTGAGGAGGGGTCCCAGCTCAGTGACCACACCCCTGAGTGAGGAGGAACCCCCAGCCCGGTGACCACGTCCCCAAGTGGTCACTTGGGTCAAGATGGTCCCCATCCCAGTGCTTCCCTCTCCTGCTACCACCCTCAGGGCTCTCCACCCTCCTGAGCCAGCAGTGCCCCCCCCCAGTGACCCCCTGCCCTCCCCCTGCCCTCCCAGTGACCTGGAAAAGTCCGTGGAGAAGATCCAGAAGGATCTGGCGCACAACCACCGGCTGATCCCGGCGCAGGAGCTGGAGGAAAAGGCCGTGGTGCTCAAGCAGCTGGGGGAGACCCTGACGGACCTGAAGGGTGAGGAGGGGCTGGGGAGGTGCAAACAGAACCTTCTGGCACTTGCCTGCTCCATCCCTGCCTGGGGATGCTCCTGGATTGGTGTTTGCACCTGGGATATTCCAGGTTTTCCTTGCCCCGGGATTTGGGTGCTTGCACCTGAGATTCTCCAGGTTTTCATGGATTTGTGTTTTCCCCTGGGATTCTCCAGGTGCTCCTGGATTTGTGTTTTCCCCTGGGATTCTCCAGGTGCTCCTGGATTTGTGTTTTCCCAGATTTGTGCTTTCCCCTGGGATTCTCCAGGTGCTCCTGGATTTGTGTTTTCCCAGATTTGTGTTTTCCCCTGGGATTCTCCAGGTGCTCCCTGCCCTGGATCTGTGGGTTTGCCCCTGCCAGGGGGGTCCCCTGCCCTCCCAGGTGCCCATCAGTGCCACACCCTGTGCCCACAGCCGTGGAGGGGACACCTCCACCCTAAAATCGGGATGGAGCCATCAATCCAGACTTTCCCTGGATCCACCCTGCCCACAGCACAGGGTCCTGGCGGTGCCAGCGGGGCGCTGGGAGGGACACGGGGCTGACAGCAGTGTCCCCTGGCAGCCCAGTTCCCCAGCCTGCAGAGCAAGATGCGGGTGGTGCTGCGGGTGGAGGTGGAGGCCGTCAAGTTCCTCAAGGAGGAGCCCAACCGCCTGGACGGGCTCCTCAAGCGCTGCAAGACCGTCACCGACACCCTGGCCCAGATCCGCAGGTGAGCGCCGGCCCCCGAGGGCACAGCCACCCCCCCGGTGTCCCTTTGTCCCCACTGTGCCACCTCTGTGCCCTTTGTGCCACCTCCTCTCTGCGCATCCCAAACTCTCAGGGCGGGAGCGGGTCCGAGGGGTGTGCACAAAATGATCATTTTTCTGCTGAAGGACCCCCAAAAAAAGGACCCCAAAAATACCCTTAGTCCTTTCCAGGCCCCCCCTCTTTTGTTAAAACCCTCCTTTTTCTGCTAAAGCACCCCAAAAACACCCTCACAGTCCTCTCCAGGAGTGAGTGGGAACCCTTTTTGGTAAAAGCCTCATTTTTCTGCTGAAGGACCCCAGAACCACCCTCAGTCCTTTCCAGGTGTGCATGGGACCCTCTCTTTTGATACAAACCTCATTTTGCCTTGGTAATAAAGCAGGATTTTACATCAGGACAGACACACAGCCCTTGGCGTGAGCAGAAACCTCTTTCCCAGGGAGCAGGGAGCTGTTCTGTGGTGGAAAAATGCTCAGCCAGAGAAAAATCCTCTGCCAGAGCCGCTGCGGGGTGGATTTCACCTGCCTGATCCCATTAGGATCCCATTAGGATCCCATTAGGATCCCATTAGTGATGGCTCCTGGCTGCCCCCGGGATGGCCCCGGGCTCTGCTCTAGCCCGGTTTCCCTGGGAAAGGAGCCTGTAGGATCCTGCAGTGCCCTCATCCCAAATAAATCCTCAATCCCAAGGGTGGCTCCAGCGGGATCTGGAGCAGGGGAAGGGTTTGGAGGGATCCCATTTCCCTCCGGGCTCATGAGAGCGGACAGGCCCCCCAAAGCAGCACCAAGCCCAGCCCAGAGCACCTCAGCCTTGAGGAAATGAGGATTTTGCACCCTCCCCGTGCCCCTCAGACCCTCAGTGCCTCCGCTCTGCCCTAGACAAGTGGACGAGGGCGTGTGGAGCTCGCCCAGCAGCCTGAGCCAGTCGCCCAAGAAGGTGGCCCCGGAGACAGATTTCAGCAAAGGGCTGGAGCTGGAGATGCCCACCAGCCCTCCCGTGAGCCTGCACCACCTGACGGGCACCCCCGAGCCCCTGGGCTTCCCCGCCCAGCCCCAGAGCCACCCTGGCAAAAGCAATAACCCCTCACGAGCCCCCGAGATGGTGCCCGCCAAGACTCAGACGGGGCCCGAGACCCCCAGCAAGAAGAGCGCGGACAAAGCAGTGTCTGTGGAGGTGAGAGCCCGGCCTGGGGGGGGTCAGCTCGGGGGGCTCCTCCAGAGGGTCTGGAAGGCGAAAATGGGGATGGGAGCAGTGCCCACCCTGCTGCTCCTCGGTGGAGGAGCCCTGGCAGCTCCAGGATGAGAGCTGGGCGTGCTCACCTGCAGAAAAGGAGACTCAGGGGTGCCCCCTTCACTCTGCACAGCTCCTGAAAGGGGCCTGTGCTCAGCTGGGGCTGGGCTCTGTCTCCAGGAACTGACAGAACCAGAGGACACAGCCTCGAGCTGCCCCAAGGGAAATTTGGGTTGGATATTAGGAAAAAGTTTTTTACAGAAAGATGATAAAGTTCTGGAATGTTCTGTGGTGGAGTCACCATCCCTGGGTGTGTTTAACAAAGCCTGGATGTGGCACTGGGTGCCAGGGTTGAGTTGAGGTGTTGGGGCTGGGTTGGACTCCATGATCTTGAACATCTCTTCCAGCCGGTAATTGTGTGAAATTTGGGGATGGGAGCAAAAATCCGCCCCCCAGCTCCTCGCAGCGGGTCCGGGGGTGTCAGGGGGCTCTGGGGTCACGTCCTGCCCGCCAGGGACGGGGCTGGAGCCGGCGCTGTGTCCGCAGGCGGCCGAGCGGGACTGGGAGGAGAAGCGGGCGGCGCTCACCCAGTACAGCGCCAAGGACATCAACCGGCTCCTGGAGGAGACGCAGGCCGAGCTCATGAAGGCCATCCCCGACCTGGAATTCGCAGCCAAGCACAAACAAACCCCGGGCAGCGGCAGCGCCGCCTCCACGCCCGAGCACAAACCCTCCAAGCCACAGCACACCCCCAAATCGGGGGGCAAAGGGGACCCCAACGGCCGCCGGGGCTCAGGTACGGGGTGGGCAGGGACGGGGTCGCCTCCAGAGGCGAGGCCGGGGGTGCGCGGTGCTGTCCCCGAGGCGGGATGGGAGGGACACGGCCGGGCGCGGTGCCCTCAGAGCCCCCTCTGTGCCCAGACGAGCTGACGGTGCCGCGGTACCGCACCGAGAAACCCTCCAAGTCGCCGCCGCCTCCGCCGCCCCGCCGCAGCTTCCCCTCGTCGCACGGGCTGACCACGACCCGCAGCGGGGAGGTCATCGTCACCAGCAAGAAGGAGCCCGGCTTTATGAAGGTGAGGATGGTGGCTGGGCTGGGATGGGCAGCGCGACCCCTCCCGGTGTCCCTCCGTGTCCCTCCGTGTCCCTCCGTGTCCCCCGGTGCCTCCCGGTGCCCCCCGGTGCCCCCCGGTGCCCCCGGCCCTCACGGCGCGCTCCCCCCGGCAGAAGGCGGAGTCGGAGGAGCTGGAGACGCCGAAGCCGCAGGTGAAGCTGAGGCGGGCGGTGTCCGAGGTGGTCCGGCCCGCCTCCACCCCGCCCATCATCGCCTCGGCCGTCAAGGACGACGACGACGAGGACCGGATCATCGCCGAGCTGGAGGTGAGCGCGAGAGGGGCGGGAGCCCGGGACCCCGCCCGCAGGTGACACTGCCCGCAGGTGACACCGCCCCCCAGTGACACCGCCCCCCAGGTGACACCGCCCCGCAGGTGACACCGCCCTGCAGGTGACACCGGCCCGCAGGTGACACCGGCCCGCAGGTGACACCGCCCGCAGGTGACACCAGCCCGCAGGTGACACCGTCCCCAGGTGACACCGCCCCCCAGGTGACACCGCCCGCAGGTGACACCGCCCCGCCCTTCTGCTCGGGGGGGGTTCGGGGTGTGACATCCCCGGCACCGGCACCGCCCTGGGGTCCCTGCTCTGCGCAGGGCCACGGGGACGGAGTGGTGGCACTGCTGGGGACAGGTGTGCTACACCTGGTGACACACAGCTGGGTGATGAACATCTGCACTTCCTTCTGCACTTCCCTCCCACTCTGGGATTTAAGCCAGACTCACCTGGGTTTGAGCACGGCTCAGGTGCTCCAGTGGGGACAGGGGAGTTTTTTCATGGATGGTTTTCCTTGGATGGGTTTTCTTGGATAGTTTTTCCTTGGACGGTTTTCCTTGGATGGTTTTCCTCCAGGAGGGAGGAGAACTGGGCATGCTGCAGGTGTGGGACAGGTGAAAATGCTGCAGGCAGGGGAACTGGACCGGTGATGCTGCCAGGCTGGGGCAGTGACCCTCCTGGCCGGAGGAGCAGTGATACTGATGGCCGGGCACGGGTGGCTCTGCTGGCTCTGATGGCACAGCTGGCCAGGGGACAGGCGGCCCTGCCAGCAGCACAGGGGACAATGCTGCTCTGTCCCTGCCAGCCGCCACCAGCCTGGCTGCTGTGAGCCCCACTCAGGCCGTGGCCCCAGTGCAGGCCCAGGTCACCCCTCCCTCGCTCCAATGGCCGTGTTTGACTCCCCAGGTGTTTCAGCGGAGCTCAGCCTCCCCTTTCCTCCCCGTGCCCCGCTGTGACCCCCTCGAGGCCGTGTCCCCAGGCCACTCCGAGCCGTGGCCCCTCGGAGCCGAAGGATGGAAGGTAACGGCTCCACGGGCTGCGCTCTCACCTTCCTCCTCTGCCTCCTCTCGGCTCACTTCTGCTGCTTTTCTCTGATTTAACCGACTAATCACCACCTTCTGTCCTCACCGCCTCGCTCCCGGCACTGACGCGGCACCGGAGCCTGCACTAACCCACGGCCGCGGCTCCCGGGAGGCTCCCGGGCCGCCCCCGCACCGCACCGGGCACGGCACGGGCGGCGCCCGCCGCTATCACGGCACCGGGGGCGGGCGGTGCGGGGGAGACCCCGCCCCGAGTGCATGGGAAGGGAGGGGTTGGAGCAGAGCCGGGTGGGTGGGTTCTGATTTGAAGTTTTTTGGGATGTCAGGCCTGGACAGGAGGGAACTGAGCTCCCCTCCATTCCCTGTCTGTGCTGTGTGTCCTGGCGGATGTGTGGGATTTCTACATCCCTTTCCAGCCCGTGTCCATTCTGTGGGTCCCACTGGGACATCAGGGCTGGAGAAGGGAGCTGAACAACTCCTTCCATTCCCTGTCCATGCTCTGGGTCCCTGTGGGGTGTCAGGGATGGACAGGAGAGAGATGAGCATCCCTGCCCAGCCCCTGTCCATGGTGCAGTGGGATGTAGGGCTGCACAGGAGGGAACTGAACATCCTTTTCCAGCCCCCGTCCATGCTGTGGGTCCCTGTGGGATGTCAGGGCTGGAGGAGGGAGCTGAGCAATCCCCTCCAGCTCCTGACCATGCCGTGAATCCCGCTGGGATATGTGGGATGGGCCGGAGGGAGCTGCGCCTCCCTCCCTCCCCAGACTCCCCCTGGAGCTCTGCCATGCCCGGAGGCGCCGCTCTGGGGGGACCCCAATAATTTGTGGCGCCCCGTGGTGCCTCCCCAGGCAAACCCCGCTGCCGCCTGGCCCCTAACCTGTCTGAATTCTCTACCTAGGAGCCGCTGGCGCCGGCAGCCCCGGCCGGCCGGGCGTTCTCCCTGCCCCAGATCGTGCTCACCGAGTGGGTGTCGGAGCCGCCGTCCCCCGACGCCGAGCCGGAGCTGTGGGCGGCGCCGGGCAGCGCAGCACCAGCAGGGCAGCTGCCACCCGAGGGGACAAAGAGAGGCCGTGTGGCGGCTCCCGGCGGCTCCCCAAAGTCCCCGCTGGCGCAGGAACCCCCGCCAGCCCCGCAGCCCCCCGGCAGCGCATCCCGGGCGCTTCCCTTGGCAGCCCCGCCTTTCCCGAGGGATAAAATGGGGGGACAAAGAGGGGACGCGGCTCCGGACGCTGCCGGCAGGCCAGGAGGCGGTGGCAGGGCTTGTCCCCAGAGTCCCGAGGCTGCGCAGCCTCCTCGGAGCCGCGGGGAAGGCGCCGGAGCTGCGGAGGCCGCGCTGCCCTCCGCGGGTGCCGCGATCGTTCCCCAAATTCCCGCTGGCCTTGGGGACTCCCAAAGAGGAGCCAGGCTCGCTCCCGGACACCCAGCTGGGGCTCCCAAAGCTGCATGGAGGGAGGAGAGCCCTCCGGCCCGCCCGGGGACACAGCCCGGGGCTCCCGCGGGCAGGGACCCAGCCCCGAGGGCAGCGGGGCCTTCCCGGGCGGAGCAGCCGCCCCTGGAGCGGGTCCTGGCCCGCTCCGGCCCCGCCGCGGCACCGCCGGGATGGGACCGAGGGGCTGCGGCTGCCGGGGGCGGCCCCCGAGCGGCGGGGAAAGCGGCAGAGGGGCTCTGCAGAGGCCGCCTGAACCCCGCGGGCCCGGGCAAGAAGGAGATTTACGAGGACACCTACCAGAGACTGGACAGCCTGGAGGAAACCATCCGCGAGCTGGAAATGACCATCAGCGAGATCAGCAGCCACCCCGCCGTGGAATTTGCGTTCCCCAAGGACGCGCCGGGATCCGAGGAGGCCGGGAGGAGCCTGGGGGACCTCGGGCACGGAGGCGGCGACGGTGACACCGCGCTGGACCTCAGCCAGGCCAAGGACGGCGCTGCCACGAGTCCCTTTCCGAGCAGGACCAAGCCAGCGCTGCTCCCCAAGCCGCAGCTGCCCCCCGGCACTCCCCAGGTTCATTTTCTCTTCTCCCCCGTGCCCTGCTCTGCCCTGGATTCGCTCTGATGTCTCTTCCTCTGCCTGCTCCCTCTCTGTGACTCCACCTCCAGGCAGAGCCGAGCTGGAGAACGAATCTTCCTCTTCTCCCTGGCACTCGGAGGGGTTTGGGAAGGGCAGGAGCGAGGCAGGAGCTGGAGGGGAGATGGTGCCAAGTGGTGCTGGCTGATCCCGTCCTGGAATTAGACCCTGGATGAGGGGGATTCTTCTGCCCTGGCAGGATTTGGGAGCACCAGGTCCAGGATGGGCATCCCATGGGATCTATGAGAATCCCACGGGATCCACAAGTGTCCCGCAGGGTCCATGGGCATCCCACGGGGTCCAAGAGCATCCCACGGGGTCAGCCAGGGCTGGTGCAGAAGCGCCGCTCTCAGTTTCACCATTTTCCATAAAATCCCTCTCCTAACGAGCAGCAGCCGGAGCCTGGCAGATGTTTCTCCTAATTAAAGCACAGCACGAGCTCCCTGAAGCCATCCCAAATTGCTTTCTGCTGGAATCCAGCTGAATATCTGAGGAAAAACAGGGAGGGGAAAAATGCCCTGAGCTCCGCTGCGACGACAACCTGCTCCTTTATTAACAGCCAGCGCTGGGGAATAAATCTCCTTTTCCATTTGGAGCCGTTCTCTCCCTCCTCGGGGGCTGGAGCTGCAATTTTTCCCATTTTTTTTTCCCGGAAACGGGAAGTGGAGCTGCGGGATGGATTTATGGCTGGGGCTGGGGCGAAGCCAGGCTCAGGGTTAGGCTGGGATGGGAGAGGCTGTGATGGGTCGGTCCTCGAGCAGGGCAGGGCAGGGCGGGGCTGGTGTCACATTCCAGGGAAGATTCCCAGCGCTGGAATGCCGGGGATGGTGCGGCACAGGCACTTGTGGGGCTCTCCAGGGCTGGGGTTCGGACTCTGGTCCTCATGGGTCCCTTCCAGCTGAGGACATTCCATCCTTGGATGAGTTCCTCGCGCTGCGGGGTGCGGGAATTCCCCGCGTTCCCCCCGGGAGGATCCCAGGGCTTCACCTGAGCCATGGATTCCCCAGCCCGGGCTGGAACAGGACAGGGGACCCTGGCACGGAGGGGACCCGGGGGGGTTGTGGCACTGCCGCCTGTGTATCCTCACCTGTGCACAGTGAATAAACTCCTCTGTACTCCCACTGCCGCCGCTCCCTCCTGGAATCTGCTTCTGCCTGCCGCCGCCTCTTTCCCTCTCTCTTGGCCCCGCGGGCTGTCCCGTCCCGCCCTCGGTGTCCCGGTGTTTGCCGTGTCTCCCTAAACTCCCTCCCGGGTGCCTCCCGGTAAGTCCCGGCGGGGTTCGGAGCTCAGGGCGAGCCGGTGACCCGGTCCTGGCCCGGCCTTGTCCCCTCGGGCAGCGCTGGCAGGGGCGGCGCAGCTCAGGGCACCCAGCGGTGCCGCCCAGGGCTCCACCGGCCGATTTTAACCCTTTCCCCCTGGATTTTGTGTCCCGGCAGAGCGGCGGCGTCTCCATCCCGGCCATGAAGATGGTGAATCCGGCGTCGCGGCTGAAGCAGGGCCAGCAGGGCAGCCCCGACAAGGGCAAGCACATCAAGCAGCGCATGGAGTACATGCGGATCCAGGGCCAGCAGCAGGTACTCCACCCCTAGAGCCGCCCCGGGGCTGCCCGCCGCCCTGGCACCGCCCAGGGCACGGCCCGAGCCGGGCACTCCCGAACCGGGCACTCCCTGAGCCGGGCACATCCGAGCCGGGCACCGCCCAGGGTACGGCCCGAGCCGGGCACACCCCGAGCCGGGGATGAGTTCTGGGACCGCATTCTCCCTTCCTTGGTGCCTTCTTGGCGTCGGCTGAGCCGGGCGGGGCTGGGGACAAAGGGACGCGGTGGTGGCGGTGCGGGAGGGGCTCTGGTCACACTCTGAGCCCGCCCCGTGGCTGGAGACAGGGACACGAGAGAGTCACGAACTCATCCTCGCTGTGGGGTGAGGCTGAAGGGTTTGTCCCCAGCGCTGGGTCACCCTGAGGGGTGGCTGAGCCCCGGTGCTGTCCCCTCACCCCAGGGGACAGTGCCACCTCCTTGGCCGTGCGGATGAACGCGGCAGAGCCACGCGGGGGTGGGGATTCCCTGCCTGGGGAGGTTTTGGGGAGCCGGGGCCCCCCCGTGGCCCCACAGAAGCAGCTTGGGGTGTCCCGGGCAGGGTGGTGGCACTGTGGGGACGGTGAGCGGGCACAGCAGCTGGAAGAGAAGCGTTTTGGGGTGCCATGGAGCATCCCCAGCGGCCAGCACGGACCCTCCCCACCCACCCCGGGGCAGCCCCGGGGGTCCCCGCCCTGTCCCTGCTGTCACCCCAGTGCTGGCCGTGCATTCCCGCAGGCCAGGGCATCACGGACACTTGGGTGCCTCCCTCCCTCCGTCCCTCCCTGCTGCCTGTCCCCCCTCCAGCGCCCCTTTCCCCCCGGCTGGGCAGCAGCGCCGCGGGCGGGTTCGCCCTGAGCTCTGCTCTGCCCCCGCTCTGTGTCTTGAGGCCTTTCCCGCCCCCAAACCGCGCAATAAACCCAATTCTGCTCATCCTCGTGCATCCCGCAGCCCCGCCGGACAAACCGAAGGAATTCCCAGCTCCTCGCAGCAGGGTCTGGGGGGGAAAATGTGGAATGAGCAAAACGGGCACCTGTTGGCAAACAGGGTCAAACCCCACCTTGGCTGCTCCCTTCCCAGTGGAAAACCTTCCCCAGGGAGGAGTTTTTTGAGGGTTTTTTGGAGGTTTTTGGAGGTTTTGGGGGGTTTTTTGAGGTCCTCAAGCTCAGGGTGTCCCTGAGTGTCCCCTCTGGCGTGCGGGGTTGTCCCACCCCATGGGATCAGGGAGGGGCAGGGGGCTCCTTCTGGATTCCCCCTGCACTGGACCCCGGGCAAACCCTGAGGGGTCGGGAAGCGTCTCCTGACCCCGTGAGGCCACCAGGTCCCCTCCCCTGGAGGCCACCCAGCAGCACGGCCCTGCCTGCTCGGTGTCACCGCCTTGGTGACAGTCCCCGTGGCCCTGCTGGCGTGGTCTCCTCAGGACTTTTCGGTGCCACTTCTGTCCCCGGGCAGGATTTGGGGGTGTCCCCCCCTCTCCCCCGCAGCCCAGCCCCTCACTGGGGGCAAGGTGGGGCTGGGGGACCCCAGATCCCGCTCCCCATCCCTGGGGCATTCTCAGCATCACTCCCGAGCCGGGTCAGGCCGTGCCCGCACGGCAGGGACAGGGACAGGGACAGGGACAGGGACAGGGACAGGGTGGGCACGGCCGCCCTCGGGCGCTGCCCCGGGGGCTGTGCCCGCTCTAACGCTGCCCTTCTTGTCCCCCCTGTGCCTCCCCCGTGTCCCCTGTGCCCCCCGGCTGTGTGTGCCTGTGTGTCCGCGTGCCCGTCTGTCCGTCCGTCCGTCCTTTCCTCTCGGGGCCGTCCCCTGCCCGTGCAGTGACACGTGGGACCCGCTCTTGTCGCGCTCTTTGTGGTGGCCCTTTTCCAGCTGCTTGACCTCAGGCCTGACTCAGTGCTGCTTCTGAACGAGCTCCCTTTGCTTCTCGGTTGTTTTTGGGTTTTTCCTGTCCTCGTTTTTGTTGGTTTTTTTTCCTCTTTTTGTTTTATTCCTTTCTTTCGTCTTTTTTTTTTTTTTTTAAGCTTTTTCTTTATTTTTCTTTGGACTTTCCACCCCTTTCTCCTCCTCCTCGTCCTCCTTGAATCTTGCTTTTCTTTCCAGGCCACTAGACCATCTAAAGAGGCCAGTGAGACCTCCCCCACGGTCTCAGAAAAACCCGCAGCTGGCAGAACATCCATCCCCGTATTGACTTCTTTTGGGGCCAGGAACTCCTCCATCTCATTCTGAGCGCCCCGGCCAGCTCCGCCCGGCCGCTCTCCTGCTCCGGGGGGCTCCTCCTCTCTTCCTCGGGCTCCTCTTCCTCCCTGGGACTTGGCTTCTCCTTGAGGCGCTCTGGAGGGAATCCGCCACCTGTGTCCCCTCCTCTTTCTGTTTGATCCGTGTTTTTGTCGCCTCCGCTCCGCCAAACGAACTTTTGTTGTCTCGCCTGTGCCGCGCCTCGGCCCGACCTCTGTGTCCCCTCCCGCTCCGCCATGGCCAACCAGCCACTTTCTGTTTCTCTCTCTCTCTCTTTTTTTTCCCCTCCTTTTCTCCTTTTTTTCCCTCCCCTTTGGATCGCTGTTGGTTTGGTCCCCCCCCCTCCTCTTTTTCCCCCTTTTCCCTCCCCTCCTTTTTTGGTTTTTTTTTTTGGGTTTTTTTTTTCTGTTTATTTAAGAGCTCTCAGAGCTTCCCCCCACCAGCGTCCAGCCAGGAGCAGCCTCCAGCTCCCACCGGGCGGAAAACCGGGAAGCAGCGGCGGCCGAGGACACCCCCGGAGCGACCCCCGGAGCGACCCCCGGAGCGGCCCCCGGAGCGGCCCCCGAGCGCCCCGGGAGCGGCGGCGGTGCCCCCGCAGGAGGAGAGCGCGGCTCCGGCCCGGGCTCGCCGGGGCGCGGCCGGCGGGGCCGAGGGCGCGGGGACACCCCGGGGACACCCCGGGCCCCGCGCCGCTGTCAGCGCCGCCGCCACCACCGCGTCCCCTCCAGGGGGGCCGGGGGGTCCCCGGGAGTGCCGGAGGGGCCGCAGGGCGCGGGTGTGAACTGGGGAGGGGTCCGGGATCGAGCGGGGCGCGGTGATGCCGGGGGAGGGGGGGGCACCCGGCCGCGGCTCTGTCCCCTCCCGGCGGGGACGGGCGGGCGGGACGGGGGCCCGGAGCCCCGGCGGAGCAGCCCCGGCCCTGCCCGGCCCGGGGGGAGCGGGCGGGGGGCCCGTGGCCACCTCCCTGCAGCATGGCTGGGCCAGGTGTGCCCAGGTGGGCTCCGGGTGTGCCCAGGTGGGCTCCAGGTGGGCTCCGGGTGTGCCCAGGTACAGCCCAGGTATGCCCCAGGTGTGCTCAGGTACACCCCAGGTGTGCCCCAGGTGTGCCGTAGCTGTACCCACCTGTGCCCAGGTGGGCTCCAGGTGCAGCCAGCTGTGGCCAGATGTACTCCAGGTGGGCCCAGGTGCTCCACAGGTGGTGCCAGGTGCACTGGGCTGTGCCCAGGTGCTCCCAGGTGTACCCAGGTGTGCCCAGGTGTGCCCCAGGTGTATCCAGCTGTGCCCAGGTGCACTCCAGGTGTGGCCAGGTGTACCCGTATGTACCCCAGGTGTGCCCAGCTGTGCCCAGGTGCACCCAGGTGTGCCCAGGTGTACCCCAGGTGTGCCCAGCTGTGCCCAGGTGCACCCAGGTGTGCCCAGGTGTGTGTGTGCGTGTGCTCTGTGTGTGCAGCACAAGATCCAATCACTCCTTCCGTTCTCTGTTTCGTCCTTGGGTTGATTATTTTCGGGTTTTTTTAAATTTCAATTCCTTTTTTCTTCCTTTTCCCCCCTCCTCTGGTTTTTTGTTTTGGTTTTTTTGTTTTTTGTTTTTTGTATCTCGATCATTTTTGTACAGAAGAAATGAGAGCCTTTTTTTGAATAACAAAGAGAAAACACACACAAAAAAGAACAAAAACCAAAAAAAAAGACCAAAAAAAGAAAGGAAAAAAATGAAAAAAAAATCATGATGCAATTTCTTTGGATTGCAAAAAAAGCAACTCTTTACATTTAAGTGAAGTGTCTTAACATTTTATATTGTTTTAAAAAATATATTTACATATTATATATATATAATATACGTAATATAAATCTATATATAAATATTTAAAGAGGGGAAAAAAACTAAAAAAAAAACCTTAAAAAAAAAAAGGAAAAAGAAGAGAAATAAATAAATCACGTCCGGTATTATTTAGGGGATGGATTTAAAATCCCTTCTTAGGTTTAGAGCTCCTCGTGGTTCCCAGAGCGGCTTCGTCGCCCTCGCGCTGAGTCCCCGCCCTCTCTCCTTGTCCCCAGGTGTCCCCAGGTGTCCCCTGGTGGCCCTGGAGACCCCCGCCCGCCCCCAGTGCCAGCAGCAATAGCAGTCACTGACGCGTTTGGAATTAATTTCGTTTTTAATTAATTTCTGTTCTCGGTACCAAAGTGAATTCTCTGTAGCAAAGCCGCAGCTCCCGGGGCCGGGCGGGTGGTGGCACCTGGCGCTGTCCCCTCCCCTGCCGCCGGTCACCCCCGCGCTGTCACCTCCTGTCACCTTGTGTCACCCCAGGGGGGCGGTGACAGCACCCGAGCTCTGCTGGCTGGAGGTGACAATGCCACCCCTTGGGGACACCCACATGGCGGTGACAATGCCACCCCCTTGGGGACACCCACATGGGGGTGACAATGCCACCCCCTTGGGGACACCCACATGGCGGTGACAATGCCACCCCCTTGGGGACACCCACATGGCGGTGACAATGCCACCCCTTGGGGACACCCACATGGCGGTGACAATGCCACCCCTTGGGGACACCCACGTGGAGGTGACAATGCCACCCCCTTGGGGACACCCACATGGAGGTGACAATGCCACCCCCTTGGGGACACCCACATGGGGGTGACAATGCCACCCTCCTTTATGACACCCACATGGCGGTGACAATGCCACCCCCTTGGGGACACCCACATGGGGGTGACAATTGCCACCCTCCTTTATGACACCCTAAAAAATGTCACGGGGGGTGACAATTGCCACCCTTGTGGCGACACACAGAGAAATGACATGAGGAGGTGACAAGTGCCGCCCCCTTGTGGCCACCCCCAGAAATGTCACAGGACGGTGACAAGTGCCACCTCTATTGGGACGCCCACGTGAGGAGGTGACAATTGCCACCCTCCATGGGGACACCCCCAAAAATGACACGGGAGGGGGCTGTCCTCAGTGTCCCCACCTTGGTGTCCCCAAGCTGTCACCGATTTTGGGGGGGGTTGTCCCTTTTCCCATGCCCACTTTGTCCCCAGGCCACCCCTCCCAGCTCGGTGTCACTGGCTCAGAGCAGGGGGGTGACAGTGACAAACCAGGGGGTGACAGGGCCAGGTGCGGGGGTGGCAGCTCCCAGGCTGTCCCCAAACCCCCCCAGTGTCCCCTTTTCCCGGCTGGTGTCCCTGTGAGCGTGGTGTCCCCGTGTGCGTGTGCGTCCGTCCCCTTCATGGCATCGTGCAAATCTCTCACTGAAGCAAGAAGACAACAACAAAAAACAACAACGAAAAAAATCAAAATTAACAACGAAACAACTCAATTCTGGTTCAGACCAGGAAAAACATATTTTAAAAATGATTAAAAAAAAGAGGAAAATGTGTAAAAATGACAAAAAAAGCCCAAACGCAAGCGCTGCCTGCATCGTGCATGTGTCGGAGGCGCCCGCTGCATGCGCTCCCCGCTTTACTCGTCTGGATGTTGTTTCAAAACAAACAAAAAAAAAGGCTACGACTCTGAAAAGGACAAAAAAAAAAAAGGACAAACTGAGAAGAAAAAGCAAAAAACGCCAAAAAAAAGGAAAAACAAGGAATTTCTGGTTCTCCTTAGAGGCTGTTTTGGGGTTTCTACGCCGTCGTGTGTCTCTCTCTCTCTCTCTCTCTCTTCCGCATGAATTTTCTCGTGAACTGTTTTAAAAAGGAAATAAAAGGAACAAAAAGTACAAAAAAGAGTAGAAAATGGAGGGAAAAAAAAAAGGAAAAAAAATGAAGAAAAATGTAAAAAAAAAAAAAAAAAGCCTCGCACAGGGGAAAAGCGGGGGAGGGGAGGGAGGGGACGCCCCCACCCTGTGCCACCCCCCCCCCGTGTCCCCTGTGTCACCGTGGATGCCATGGGTAGTTGTGTGTGACCGTTGTAATTCCCGTGACAAAAGGGTTGCTTTTTATTATTTTCCTTTTTCCCTTTATAATTTTTCTTTTCTATCAGAGTGTCTGGCTTTAATAAAATTACTCTTTTTTTTTTTTTTTTGCCTCTTTTTCTGTCTTTTTCTGGCGATTTTTCCCCTCATTTTTACCCCCTCTCCCCGAATTTTGAGAAATTGAAAATTGAGAAATTGACAAATTTGAGAAATTGAAAATTGAGAATTTTAATGGGAATGGGGCCTCCCCAATTCTGTTATTTCTTCCCCACAGGCTCAGAGAAAAATGAGATTTATCCTCACATGGATAAACCCAGGAATAAAAATTCCCAGCACCAGGAATTTGAAGTTCCTGCCCACCAAAAAAAAAAAAAAGGGAATTAATACCAACAAAACCTTGAATAACCAGTTTATTTCCAATATATAGACTGGAGGTGGGGGGGCCAAAGCAGGGGGGATTTTTTGGGTTGGTTTGGGTTTTTTTTTGCAGTTTTGCAGATCCCAACAGGGCTGGGAATGGGGGTGGGAAGGGGTTTGGGTGGGACATGCAGGAGGGTTTTAAAAAGTCACCACTGGTCCAGCACGTCCCCTGCTTGGGGCTGGCCTTTCCGCTGAGCAAAACTTCTTAAAAAATCCTTATAAATCCTTTGGGATATGTTACACGGGCAGGGCCGGTATTTACAGGGGAAAACGAACAACAAAAACCAAAAAACAAAATCGAAAAGAAAAGAAAAACCAATGACTTTACAGCAAATATTTGCATAACGTATGAGAACGACACGGAGAGACGGTGACAGGGTGTGACACCAGGCCACCGAGGTGGTGGCACTTGTGTCCCCGCGTGGCCAGGCCGGGGGTCCCCAAACTCCCTTCCTAAAGTGCTTCTGGCCTGGGGGCAGGAAGGGGACAGCGACGGGAGGGGACAGGGACATCCCAGGATGTGCCACATGCGGCTCGTGGGGGGTGGAGGGTGGCAGTGTCCCCCCCGCCGCCAGTGTCCCCCTCAGTGCCACCCCCTCCCCGGCTCCCCCCTCTCACCAGAGCCCCCCCAGGTGAGGGTGACAGCGCTGAGGTCCCCAGGTGACCCCAGCACACGGGGGGGTCTCTGGGATGGGACCCCCAAGGTCCTCAGGGCATGGAGGGTCCCCAGGGCAGGGGTCTCTGACCCTGATGTCCCCAAGGTCCCCCAGAGCAAGTGTCTGTGACACCAAGATCCCCAGGGTCCCCAGCAGGTTTCTGACCGGGTCCCCAGGGTCCCTCAACACAGGGGTCTGTGACACCGAGGTCCCCAGGGTCCCCAGGGTCCCCAGTGTCCCCAGTGTCCCCATCCCGGGCAGGTCCCGGCCGGAGCAGCCACAGCGCCCAGGGAAGTGCCCGCACTTCGCTCCGCCGCGGCTGGGGACAGCAGCGCCACCACTGGGGACAGTCCCCGTGAGCCCCCACGCCCCTCCTGGCACTGCCTGGGGGCTGGGGCACCGTGCGGTGGCACCGCCGCTGGTCCCCAAAGCGGGGGGACGAGGTGTCTTTGTCCCCCCATGGCACAGGGCCACCGGGACCTGTTAAATAACCCAGCGGCTCCTCTGGAGGGCAATTAAATACGGGGACAAGGGACAGTCCTTAAATTAAACACGCCCGGGGGGGGGTCACAGACACTGTGGGAAGCGCAGGGGTGCCGGGGGGCCGGGGCTGCCCGGGGGGCTCCGGGCGGCCGTGCCCGGGCCGGCGGTGCCAGGGGGTGCCGGGGCGGGAGCCGCGGGCCGGGCTTTGGTGGACTCCAGGCTGCTGAGCCCCGAGTCCTTGTCGCGGCAGGGTCCCGGGGTCCCCTCGAGTCCCCGCGGCTCCTTCCACTCGTTGAAGTTGAGGTCCTTGA